GCGCCGCGGCGGCCGGCGCGGGGCGCCCTGGCCGCGGCCGCGGCAGCCGCGGCGACGGCGGCGGCGGAGGTGCCTGCGGATGCCCCCAGATCTTCCGGTGACAGCTCACCCGCGCCATCATACAGATCCTCTGCCGCCGCTGCCTGAGGCACGGCCGGCGCGGCAGCAGCCGGCGCGTCCGCGGCCGCCGCGCCGGTGCTGGCGGCGGCGTTGCCTTGCTGCGCAGCAGCCGCCGCCGCCGCCGCCGCTGTAGCGGCGACCGCGGCTGCCTTTGCCGCCGCCCCCGCCGGCGCGAGCTGCCCCAGCCCGAGCGCCTGGCTCGCGCGCGCGAGCGCGCCGGCGGCCGGCTCGGACAAAAACTGCTCCGCGCGGCGCGCCAGGCGGTGCAGCTGCCGCTGCGCCTTCTCGGTCGAGTTCTTCATCGAATAGTATCCCCTGTCCTCCCACTTTGCGAGCGCCACAAAGTCCCTCAACTCCTTGGCAAGCGGCGCCAGCCCCGCTGACAGTGCAGCCTCGACAGCTGGCGCGTACTGCCCGTAGTAAGCCACCGTGTTGCTCAGCGCCGCAGCGAGCGCGGCCGGGCCCGCAGCCGGCGCGCCGGCGCCGCCCTCGGCGCCAGGGTGGGTGCCATCGGAGGAGGCGGCGGCGGTCGCCATCTGGGCGGCGAACGAGCGCAGCAGGTCGAGGCGGGCGCCGAACTCGCCGACTGTGGACGTCTGGACAAAAGCCTCGATGAGAGACGCGGCGCGGCGGTACGCCGCGTCCGCATCCCCGTCGCCGCCCGCTTCTGCTGCTGCTGCTGCCGCTGCCGCCGCTGCCGTCGCGGCGTCGTCGTCGCCGTCGCGCGGCGCCGCGGCAGGCGCCTCGGGGCGCCCCGTCAGCAGCGCGTATAGGTGGAACCAGCTGCGGCGCGCGCCGGCCGCGTGGCGCGCGGCGGCGCGGACGAGGAGGCCGCGCCAGCTGGCGAGCTCGAGGCGGCGCCAGCGGGTCGCGACGGCAGCGACGGCGGAGAGCTCCGCTTTGAGGGACACGCGCTTGGCGGCGGTCTCCTCCCAGACCTGCGGCGGTTGGGGGTGAGGTGATTCATACATTGTAACGTTCCCTGTCAACACATGCAGCTTCTGGCAAGGCGGCACTCCCCAAGCTGCCCCAATCAGTTATGAAACTGCCGGGGGATCGGCCGCAGCGCCACGCCGCCTTTCGCGGCGCCCCATTCTCCCCGCCCTTCCGCCCTTGATGCGCCGCATCCCTCCAACCCGCACCCCCTTTCTTTCGGGTTTTGATGGTGCGGGGGGGGGGGGGGGGGAGAGGCAGAGGGCACCGCCCTCCAGGGTCCAATGGGTCGACAAAATCAACACCCCAACTGATAAGATTCAAAAAGGAATGCAGCCCCACCTGGGCGCGCGCCAGCAGGAGCTCCAGGCCTGTCAGGGCCGTCTTCAGCGGCGCCGCCAGCGGCAGCGCCATCAGCCGCTCGCAGATCCCCGCCAGCACGCACAGCAGCGGGTGCTCCGGCCACTCCGCCAGCAGCGACGCGCAGCGCGCCGCGACGGCGGCGACGGGCGCCTGCATCAGCGCGGTCTCCTCGATGAACGGCTGCTGCAGGTCGATGCTCGCGCCAGCGGCCTCTGCTGATGCTGCATCCATATCGTCTGCGTCCATCCCCTTGCCCCTGCCGGCCCCCTCCCCGGCCGCGGCGGCAGCTGCGGCCGCCGCGAGCGCGACGGCGGCGGCGGAGGACGCGGCGGCGCCGGACGCGAGCGCGGCGCGCTCCTGCGAGAGGCGCATCAGGTGGCCGCCGCGCGCGGCCGCGTCGACGGCGGCGGGCAGGCGGCCCTCCTGGGCGGCCGCGAGCTGGGCGCCGAGCGCGTAGCACAACTCAAACGTGCGCCGGCCTGCAGCCTCGCCGCCCTGCTCCTGCTGCTGCTGCTGCTGCTGCTGCTGCTGCTGCCCAAGAGCCGCAAAGAGGCGCGCGTGCAGTGAAACGATCTCCTCCAAAATCCCGCCCTCCAGCAGCGCCCGCGCGGCCGCCGTCTTCGCCTCGGCCTCCGACGCCGCCTCGGCCGCGCCGTCGTCGTCGGGGTCGCGCGGCGCCGGCCGCTGGGGCGGCGCGCGGTCGTCGGCGTCGGCGTCGGGGCCGTCGTCGGGGGGCATGACATCAGCAAATGCGTTGAAGTGGTCTGGGTAGCTGCGTTTGTAGTCCTCCTCGTCCTCCTCCTGAGGGGCGGTTTTGAAATGCAGGGTTTGGTGTAAAGAATTTGTTGGGCCACAACGACAACTAGCAACACCCACAACAAGATCTGGGTGGGGACAGTACTCTGCAAGGGCTGCGAGGGTGGCGTGGGGTGGGTTGACGGGGCTCAAGCGATCCATGGATTACGGACGACGGATGCGCTGCCGGCCTCGCTCCCGTCTGCCGGCGGCGTGGCGCCTGCGCCGGGCCGGTGCGCCCGCAGCCCCCTGGGCCGTCCAGTGCACGGCGTGCATGCGCGGTCACGCCTCCTCGCCCCACACGAGGCCCACCCCTCCTGCTCCCTTCTTCCAGACCGGGAAGCAAGACCCACACCCTTCCTCATCCCTGCTCCTCCTCTCCCAAACCCCCATACTCCCAATACCCCAGTGTCCCGCCCCCAACCCCCATTCTTGCATCTATAAACCCCATTCTCCCATCCCCCAAACCAACCTCTTCCGTCTTGTGAGTCGAGCTCTGCACTTTCCCCTTGACCCGGAACACCTGCTCCTTCTCCTCGGCCGCCCTAACCTCGTACTCACGAAGCTGCCGCCACGCCTCGAGGAACGACCCGAAAAGCTCAGCCGCGCGCGCCGCCGCGGCGCCGCGCGCCGCGGCGGCGGCGCCGCCGGGCGCCTCAAGGAGCGCCTCGAGCGCAGCGGAGTGAAGCGCCGCGCGCGCAGACTGCAGGTGCCACGTGTAGGCGGCGATTTCGGCGGCGCGCGCGTGGTACGGCGCCGCCTTCTGCCCCGCCGCCGCGCGC